AAAGCTTATATATATCATTGAATTATTTAACAAAAAACACGGATTTCTAACGTTTTAATTTAAAATATAAAGAGAACAAAGCTTGAAATGATAAATAAATAATGTGGCGAGCATTTTTGCTAAAATAAATTAGGTATCAATTTGAACATTGACGGAAATAAAGTTTTCTTTTTGAAAAAATAAATTTTACATTGTTCAAAATTGTGAGATTGATTCATTTTTAAAATTGTAATTATTAAATAATGGGTATTACAGGTTAATTGTTTAACAATTTAAGGTTTCAAATTCAAGATTGAAAAAATAAAAAATTATTAGCATTTTTTTATCCTCAAAAATTTTTTTTTCTATTAATTTGCATGAAACTGATTAAATAATTCATTCAATCATAAATTATTCGCTTTCATTCCTTTGTCTTTCTCATTCCATTTTCTATTAGCCAACCAGCATCAAATATTTCTTATTAATACTATGCATTTTTATCAGTATAAAATAGATAATAATAGTGATAATTATAATAATGATAAGAATGTATTAAAAAATAATATAACGAATAAGTAATACGTTTTATTTAATGAATGAAGAAAAAAGAAGAGACGATTATCAGTCATTAGTAAAGATATTATTAGTGTTGATAGCATTTCGAGGCAAAAGATGAAGAAGGTAAAAGAGGAAGAGACAAAACGGTTGTCATGACAGCTGCTAGAAAAATATTGCAGTACATAATAATTATTTATACCTTTCTTTCTTCTACATTTATTCATTCACAGTTCTTCGAAACGAACGGAAAATTTTCTTCAATTACTATTTGTCACTGTTTAATTCGTTAAATTAGCTACTTGACTACATGAGTACATGAAATGCTTTGGAACTGAAATTATTTCATTGCTAAATTGTTGAACTGTCGAATTATCAAAATGGGTGAAATAATATTTTTCTGTATATTGAAAGTTATTAATTATTTGTTCATAAACTGTTAAAATTTTTTACTCAATTTTATACTGAATTTATTATTTTGGCAGAAATAAAGAAAGAAAAAGAAAGAATTGAATGATTATTCTCGCATGTGCGTTTTATTTTTCTCTCCCCGATTGAATGCCTGATAACAGCTGATTTTTCTGATAATTTCAAATATTAACATTTCTTGTAAAATATTTCCTAAATTCGTCCCTTACAGTAAAGTAACGACATATTGATTATCCTGTTAGTTATTCTTGCATAAGCTGAATAATGTTGTAGTTTTTGGTAATAAAAAATAAAAAATCTGATATCAATGCAAAATTCTAAAAATCAAGCCAGCTGATGTTTGAAACTATCTGTTGCTTAATTTTATCAAGAACTTTATGGGTTCGGGAAGTAGTGTACCGGTTCAGTCGCGTAATATAACCGGTGGTGGTGGCGGTGGCGGTGGTGATGGTGGAGGTGATGTCGTAGTTGAAAATGGTGAACAGCAAAAAGTGGATCCACGGTTACCATATCCAAATTTTCGAGAATTATTCACATTGAAGAATTATTGGAAAACCGTAAGACGAAATGAACGTGATTGCGCCAAAATGATATTTGCTAAGTTGGTACTTTAATTGATAATTTTAGTTTGAATAATTTAAAATTACCAATGACAAATCGGGTCCATTCATTTTTAGTCCCGAATTAATAGTGTGTGCTTTATTATATGTAAAATATGTATATCAATTTACAATACGTAGTATCATATACGGCATGGTATATCAGTAAGAATTCAACAGAAAAATAAATTTTTAGTTTAAAAAATAAACTTTTAGATGGAAATTCCTTTTTGAAATCTTCTACAGCAAAAAGATTTCAAAAAGGAATTTCCGTCTAAAAGTTTATTTTTTAATCTAAAAATTTATTTTTCTACAAACTTTTTTTGCAAAAATTAAAGCGAATACAAATTACTGAATTGATTTTATGATAATTTTATTCGATCATAAAATTAATTGTGATAATAAAACTGCATTCATGTTAAATTATTTAAGTAGCATCAAATAAGCATTTTACGTATATTCATAGCATATCAATTTTATTATAATTTACTCTCATAAATTTTTGGAATAACTGGTCAGTTAATATTTTTTTTTAAATATTATCGTTTTATTTGATGAATACACTTTTTGATTTGCTATTATTTCAAAAAAAAAAAAAACTATTTCAGTTTCAGCTTTAGTAAATTTTAGCTAATGTTTTTTCACTTACCGTTTGTTTCAATTTCAATAAGGAGACTCCAGCGTATTTACACTTTATTTATTTGATCTTTTTCATGGACGGTGAATAAATTTTTTCTTTTTCAAAAAAACACGTCTATACGATTTCTAATTCAATTTGAATGAGTATTTTTCTTTTTATTTTTTGACTTCTTCAGCAATATCTGTCCAATAATGCTGCAAAAATTGTTGAATATTTTTTCTATTTTCCATATAGCATAATAATTCGCGAATCAAAACGAATTTTTTTTGGATTCGAATATAAGTTTTTGGTATCGATATTTCAGAGCACTTTTTCATACCAGCAAATGTAGGTTGGAGCAATAAAGTTGCTAAAAAGTGATTTTTCTACTACTTTTGAATTTCAAATTCAAATTTTATTGAATTATAAAAGTTATATATTGTATATCCTAATTCGGACTCATTTATTTATTCTTTTGATATAAATAATTCCAAATTGATTAAAAAAATTTTGAAATGATATGCCGTAATAGGATGTTGTCAACATTTTCATCTGCGAATATGTTAAAGAGAAATTTTATTGCTTTTATTTTTTATTAAAAAAGAGCACAGAAATAAATACATAAAAAGCGAAAGAATTTAAATTATTAATTTCTTGCTTTTCGATAAATATATCACCTGATTTTTGATAACATTTTGATAAATTTTTTCTTTTCAAAAATCAATCCAAGAATTTATAGAATGATTAAAATAAATTTTTCTGGAAATATTTTACTACCAAAAAAGTTTAGCGAATGATTATAAAGAAACGATTAGGTAGTATTGATAATTTGAGCATAAATCCATTTACCCATAGTCATCACGGAGAGAGAGAGAGAGAGAGAGAGAGAGAGAAGAAAAACGAGATTAAGCAGATGAAATAATATATAACAACAAAGTTCAAAAGTTAATTAGCACTATGATATATGACAAGTCTATAAGCTACATATTTCATTGAATCATTGATAACCAAATTTCATGATAACAATCCGCTCACTGTATTTATTATAATTTAAATACTGTTTTAAAGTGATCTCTTTTTCTGCTTATCAATGCTTCTGCAATATTTAATTTATCGTCTAAAACTAATTAATTTTTTTTTATTAATTGTTGTTGTTATTAGTAGTAAATAGAAATTTTGCTTGCAGATATTTGAAACAGAATCCGGATAATAAGGAAAAATATCCGAAATTGAAAAATATTGATGTGGAAACGGTGAGTGCCACAACGGTGGATTCAGGCTTCGAGACGGTTGCAGCCAATTATTTGAAGGTTAGCATTTAATAATATAATTTCATCAACTATATTTTTCATAAAAATAAGCTAAAGTTTGAAAGAAAGAAAATTGAGTTTTCCTTTCTCATAGGTATTTGATGATGTAATAACGACAGTTGAAGAAAAACCAGCGGACGTCTCGGATGCTTGCTCACGGCTTACAGCGGTCGGTAAAATGCATAGGACTAAGGTAAATTTAGTTTTTTAAAAAAATGAAGAGCAAAGAAAATGGTATGAAAAAAGGGGAAATTATAGCAAAGGTTAAGGATTTTGCTGTAACTTTTGTTAAACTCTTCCCGAAGTTTTAAAATTTTTGAAATGTAGTGCAAAGTGATTAAAATGCAGATTGATAATACTTTTAAAAAATGGAATTAGTTAAAAACCAGTAATATCTTTTTCAGCCGTGTTAAATAGCCTGCTTTTAGCATAGTGCATGCAGTGAGAGATTAGCAACAGTTTAAACCTACTGTGAATATTTTTTAAAAGTTAAAGTTTAAAAATATCCTTCAAAAATTAGCTTAAAATGAAGATTAAATATAATAGTGTGCATTGAAATGAATCTTTTATTGCATTTTTTATCTTTTTTTCTTTTTAATTTGCTCTTGTTTTAATAATTGTATTAAAAAAATTACTACCTTTGTTAAATGCTCACTCGAAAAATACTTTAAATTTTTGATGATTTTATTATAATTTTGAACCTTCAAGATAATCATAAATTTATAAATTAATACGTAACAGTATGTACCATTATCGAAGAAATCTTACAATTTCAATCATAATTTGAGACATCTGCATATGTTTGTCATTGCTAATATTTTTAGTAAAAAAAATAAATTCTTTAATTGTTTTTTGAATGGTTTACTTTAATACATACTGTTATACTTAATCCTTTTCATTCTCTTTTACAAAAAAAAAAAACTTTTCACACACTGGACAGAAAAAGTTTCCAAAGAATTTTGGAAATTTGACTAACATTATTGTCTTTCTTTTTTCTTTTTATGAATTTTTAAATTTTTAGTCGTGTGATTTGTTCAATCATATAAACTAATTGTAGGTAAATGGAATGGATGGTAGTGAATTTCAATTAATGGAAGAACCATTTTTATATATGATCAGCGAAGTATTACAGGATCGTTATAATGATAAAGCAGAAAATTTATTTAGGAAACTCTATCAGTTTTGCCTCAAATATATTCTCGAAGGCTTTAATTCATAGCGTTGGACGATATGATAATTTTCTATGAGCAATGTTATACTTCGATATTTATGTTTATCAAGTTAATTCCAGTAAAGACTAATAATACAATTTTATATCAATAATCATTTTATGAGCTCTATGAACAGCTCGTTTAGTTTATTCGCTAATAATTAATTATATATCTTTAACATTATCATAAATGCATACGTTTATTTATATATTTTACTTTTCTTCTTCATAAATTATATTCAAATATATGCATTGCTTTATGTTCATATATTTGATATATATAT